GAAACAGCATATCTTGAAATGGAGATCTTCTTTAAAGGGTAAAACCTCAGGGTTTTATATCCTACAGGGTTTATACTGAGTTCAATATTGTATAACTGTATTAATTCAACTGTGAACCTAAAATTTTACAGCCACTTTTGAAAGAGATGTATCCTTGCTCTGGAATGTGTTACTGAATATGTTAAAGCTGTAATGAAATGTTCTTCTAATCATGTGGTTATTAAATTTTTTTCAAAAATTAAAAAAAATTCTTCAAAGCATAAAAATTTGCTCCTTAATAATTAATAGATGTGAAAAACATTACTGTAGAAATCTACCTGATGATTTATATCCATGCTCAGATGCCAAGGAGCTCAGAAAATAACTGACTGTGACTAGTAATGATCAGATATATAGAGATTAGAAACGCATGTGCAAACATCTGTGTCAATTGCATTAAAAATGAATTTTTCTGTATGATGCTGTGTATTTTAATAATGAAATGGAGATCTTTTGTAAAGGTTAAAACCTCATTTAATTTTATGTCTTATAGGGTTTATACTGAGTCCAATATTGTATAACTGTAATAATTCAACTGTGAACCTAAAAATTTACAGCCAATTTTGAAAGAGATGCATTGAAACAGTTGCATCTTAGCTCTGGAAATTATTATTGAATATGTCAGTGCTGTTTTCATGAAATGCTTCTTCTAATTATATGTTTATTAAATAAATAATTTTAAAAAGTTTATTGGTATACTTTCCCAGCCATGCCTGGAAGACACTATGAAAAGCAGGCATCCTGGTCCCCTGGCTCTTACAATCTTTCCACCCCTATAGAAGACATTTCTAACTAGGAGTATGTACATATCAAGTCACAATGGAGAAATATGTGGGGTTAAAAATATATCCGAATTCTTCAGTCATACGAATAATTCCTCCAAGCCAAAACCTGTGCTAGGAATGGAGTTTCTATTTCATTCCAAAATTTTATGTCAAAAGCAAGTTATGTCTGCAAAGCTCCTGGCTACTCCTCAGATGTTACTTCTAAAGACTCAAGGTCTGCAAAGCTTTAGTTCCTAACACAGACTCAGAAAAAAAAAAATCAACATATGTTCTCCCTCGTATGTGGATCGTAGAACCAGACTCTGATAAATAAGTATGTAAACAGACATAACTGCAGGAACCAGGACAAGGGTAAGGAAACAGTGAGGTAAAGGAAAAGAAATAACCTGAAGGAGAAGAATAGTAGGTAACAGGCCTTAATAAGGGATATATGGATAAAAATTGGGTTAGTTTAAGGGAGGAGGGAGGGAAGGGTATACAAGGAACCTAGGGGATAAAGGGAAAGAAAGAGCTCAAGAGAGGTAGGAATATAGGAGAAAGGTATTAGTAAGGGAGAAAGAGGAAAAATGGGGGCAACTTGATTTGGGAAACTATGATCAAGGGGTAAGACAACATGAGAGATAAATAACACCTAGCTAGTTTTAAAATACAGAGGGAACCATATTAGTCAAACAACCTACTGACTAATTATACATACCAGATCAAGAAATATATGTCCAGGCAAGGTTTATCTGAGAACAACTGGTCTTTGCCCAATATTTATCTACATGGCACACAGTAACTAAAAACACCACATTGGTGGAACTAACCTTCTTGGATGTTTAACTGACATACTTTGAGGCCTATAATAATTTGGTCAGAGGGACATAAAGGACAGTTTTTACTCCTTGCCCTCCTAGGTTGACTAGTTTCAGGGGCCTATGAGCATCTCTCAAAATGTCCCGTAATTGTGATGGGTCACCTGTCCTCTTGATCAAAGAGACTGTGGAGACCCCATGAGATGGACTTGAACCAGTGTCCAGTCTACAAAGAGGAAGGTCAACACAAAGGAAACATTTCCTCCATGCTTTCAAGCAAAGTCAGACATGTTTGAGCAAGACCTTTGACTTATCTTCACATAGGTAGGACTGGTAAAAGAAAGGAGCCAGGGGGCTCCTCCCAAGCCCATGTGACCCCTGAGGAACAGATCCTCCAACAATCTTGAATGTAAATATAAACTGGTTTATCTGGGCCAACTCTATGGCCTTAAACACCCAAAAGGAAAGTATAACCGAAGTTTAAAGGGGCCAATATAATTTTTCAAGAGTCCATATGTATAGCTAAAGGCTACATAACAAGCAACAACGCCAGATAGGAGATACCTTCTCTTGAATTGTTGGCCAGGGTGGCCCAAGGGACTCCCTGACAGTAACCAAGCATAGAACTGGGAAAATGAACAGCAGACCCCAATCTTATCTAAAGGAATATTGACCACTCATTGCTGCTAGAGGAAGAATACCTGACTTTCCTAAAACAAAGACCTCTAGAAAAGCTGACTAGATTCACCAGATGGACAAGTAGTGGGGAACAGCTGGGGGTGCCAACAATACAGTGGACAGTAGCAGGGATGACAGAGTATAAGGGCTCTAGTGGGAGGGGGCTATGGGAGGGTGCCATCTGGGAAGTGGGTGTATAGATGAATAAAATGGTTTGGGACGTTCTGTGTGATATACACACTCCAAAAAAATTAACAGTTTTTTAAAAATAAATTATATTTGAGGAGGAATCATAAAAACTTATGCTAATTAGTTGAGCTGATACACATTACCATTGAAATCTACCGTATGACTTTATAGACATACACAGGTGTCAACCGATTATGACTAGTAATATTCAGATACATACAGATTAGAGACACATGTGCCAACCTCACAGTGTTATTAGCAAAAACAGTGAGTCTTTCTGTAAGAAACATATAATTTAAAATGAAATGGAGATCTTTTTTAAAGGTTAAAATCTCATTCAATTTTATGTCTTACAGTGTTTATACCGTTCAATATTGTATAACTATATTAACTCAACAGTGAACCAAAAAATTTTATAGCCACTTTTGAAAGAGATGTATCTTTGATCTAGAATCTCAAAGGGAGACAAATCAGCCATAGATGGACTTTTGTAGAAGGGGGCATCATGGCCTTACTAATATCAAACTATAGGGAGACAGATCTAATGTAAGGAGAAGCAACTTGAAGTCCAAAAATGTAGCATAGATAATTTTCCGCTATCTGTATTTCCTCTGTGGCTTGTGTGACTTCATGAAATAACTAGATCGTCCAAGCTAGATAACTTAGAAAGCTATATAAATTTTCCTCAGGGAAAGTCTGTAAGTGATTGCCATGAGTGCTTTATAAGTCCCTCTTTCTACTTTGATTCTGGCACATTCTTCCTACTCACATCCTTGCCTGGATTCATTCCTACCATCCCAACTAAATGTGTCCCATTTCCTCACCCTAAGTTGTTTCTCCCTTCATTTCCAGTGGTTAAGTTCCTATCAACAAAAAGTAGTTCAGGTAAAATGACACAATCATCACTAAAGGTCTACTGTTTTCAGCTTTCAAAATAGCTATTTCCAGCCCCCAAACAACTCTAAATGCATTGTTTATGTCATCTAATCAGTTATGGTCTTATAATGTCATTTTATACACATATTTTACATGTTAGGTTATAAATTCATCTAGAGAAATACTGCTCCACAGAAATACAATTTGAGACATATTACAATGTAGTAGTCACTTAAAACAGCAGTTTGTTTTAATAACATTTTATTTAACCTGTATAAATAAAATGCTACAAAGGTGCCATACCATCATTACACATAAATCATAATTCATTTTTATGTATCTGTACTGGATATTTAAACTCTATAGGCTGTCTGACACAGGTCATCTTGCAATTAGCCACATTTCAAGTGTTTGGTGACATTCAAGTATAAGTAGTAGCTATCTTTCTTGAGAACACAGCTTTATGCTCCATGTTAGCACTAGAGCTCTATTTTTATCATAACACCTAGCAGAACACATCTCTATTTCAGAAGTACAATTATATTGGTTAATTAAGGTCAGTACCACCACTGGGTATGGTGGTTCACCCATATAATCCCAGAACTTAGAAGTTAGAGGCAAGAGGATTTGGAATTCAAGGTCATCCACAACTACTTAGTAAGTTTGAAACTAGTCTAAGCTATGTGAGACCCCTGTTTCATAAAACAATCAGTACAAAATTCTATATATGGAAAACATGCTGTTGCTATTCAGAACACAGAAAATAAAAACAGGAAAATAATTTTAGCTTTTTAAAAAAATAGCAAGTTCCTTCTTCCTAAGCAGTAATGGCAAATACTTCAGCATTATACCTCACTTAAAAGTAGTTAAAATATATTCACTATTGGAAAGAAATTATATATGAAATAATAAAATATGTTTTTCACTTGTCTGGAACTAATTTAATCTGATTTTCTGATATGAGCCAGACTATTAGATAAGAAAAGCTTGTTAAAAAAAAAAAAACATTCAGGAAAACTATTTCAATGCTGTTTCCATGTTCAGAATGATTTTTCCCTCAAGTGATACATCTGAAATGTGCTTGGCGTTTTTAGAAATGATTTCTCAGTTACTCAAATGCAGTTTCAGAAAATGTATGGCTTTGTTTCCATAGTCATTAGGAGCATGCAGTGAGGAACAAATCCATTTGAATTGCTCTTCTTAGGGAGACATCTTTCTTTCTTTTTTATTATTTTTAATTTTTGTGTACGAGTGTATTGCCTGTATGCTTGGGAGTGCACCTGTGGCATGCAATGCCGCAGAGGTCAGAAGAGGGCTTCGAATTCCCCTGGAACTGGAGTTAAGGACGGTTAGTAGCCGCCATGTGGGTGCTGGGAATTGAACCCAGGTCCTCTGCAAGAGCTCTTAATGGCTGAGCCATCTCTCCAGCCCCGGGAGACTACTTTCAACAAAAGCAGAAAACCTGACCTGTATTTTATCACTCTAGAATTGGTCCACCTACCTTTTCGCTATCAACTTTTTATCTTTTTTTTTTCTTTTAGATTTTGCATCCATTTGCCTGTAGAACTGATTATGATAGAGAATTATAAAGAAGTAACAAAATTTGATGACTAGGAATGTACAGTAAGTAGCTCACCTTTGGTAATTTCAGTGGTAATTTACAAATTGGCAATTGATAATGATTTTCATGAACTGTAAGCGATTGATCCAAGCTGGCGACAATCTTCTCTCTGGGTACTTTATAAACAACAACAGTGCCCTTATAATGAGGGCAACTATAGTTTCCAAATTCATCCACCTCTTTGATTTGGAGTTCCAGCCTGGGTTTTCTTTGTAAGTGAAAAATAAGTTTGTAGTCTTTCCCATAATCTTTCCCATTGCCTGAAAAGAAGATGCATTTGTTACCACTAATATACATTTAAACTTTCTAAAAAATCTGCACAATCTTTCATCTATTAAATATAACTAAAGTGTCTTGTCTGTTATTACCTCTTGTCAGAACATAACCTAACAGAGCAGCAACAGTTTATAACAAATGGCTAGAAATACTTCTCATCTATAATTGGGCCAAGTGTTCTTTGAAAACTTCTAGATCTAATAATCTTCGATTTTCTTTTCCCTTTCACTTTTTCTATAGCGATAAAATACTGTGAATATCTGTGTTTCTCAGTACTTAGTTATTTTTACTTTCTGAGAATTATCTTTTCCCTTTCTCCTCCTTCTTCCTATCACATTGCACGCTGTCATGACCTCACAGTAGATATTTTAGTACTGCACTCTTCTATAACATGTGATTATTTAAGTTTAAATAAAAAATAATTAAAATTAAAGAGCATCAACAATTCAACTCCTGGGCCTCCAAAGTGACTCAGCAGGTAAAGGCTAGTGCCACCAAATCTAAACACCTAACTTCTAAACACCTGACCCAGATCCTACATGGTAGGAGAGAATCAACTCCCACAAGTTATCCTTTGATTTCCACATGCATGCTGTGGCACCCACACACATGCACACACACACACACACACACACACACACACAGTAGATAAGTGTAAAACATCTTTAAAAACTAAGGTCCTCAGTCACTTTAACCACATTTAAAATGTTCAGTAACTATGTAAGTCTAGTGGCTATCCTACTGAACAACATAGAAATAAAAAATTCTAAAATTATAGAAAAGGACAGTGCTTCTCTAGAACTTCCAAGGAGATAGTTATTGGATTTATTGAAATTATTAAGAAAATATGTCAGGTGCTCTTAAAGTGATCACGTGTATGGAAAAGTCCTCAACTTCTTACTGAAAATAAGGAAACTTTGTGAAGAGGAATTTTCAGTCCTACAGGTTTTTTGGCTTCTGTTGCAATATTAGAAGAAACATTGCCACTTCCTAAGACAATACATCACAGCATTACCTTTGCAAAGTTTGTAGGATGCTGAGATGGAGCAGTGGAGGTAACCTGTTTTGGGAGTAAAGATCTAGATTCAAGTCCAGCTGCTATCATGCACGGTACTATTCTCATTCTTGTGGACTCTGGGGGACCTTAACTTCCTTATCTTTAAAACAGGATAAATAATGCTTGCCTCTTAAGATTATCCTGGGAATGGTATGAGATGACATGAATGAAATAATTGGCTCAAGACCTGGTATATATGAAATGCTGAATAAATGGCAGCATTGACAGCAAATGTGTTTCATTTGTGTGCTAAATCATAATAGTTAAACATTTAATGAAATGTCAAAATGGAATTCTATCCAAGACTTCATAAAGTTGATTCCCATAGCTATGTCTCATTGAATACCTTCTGTTTTGCCTAGAGGGAAACGTTCAGTAAGAGATGTAAAAGATGCTCCTGTTGTTCCTGTTGTAACTGCTAGAAGTCTTTTTGGTGAATTTCTATGCCATATTTAAATCTAGGAATAGACTAGCCCTAGGTTATGGAAGGTAGTGGAGTAGCTCCCTGTGAGTGGGTTTGTATCTTGGAGGTGATCTGGTAACTTGAATAAAACAGATTCCTAAGAGAAGAAAAACTGGCGGCTGTTTCTTAAAAGGGTTTTACTCTATTTTTTTTTAATGGCAAATTATTTGAGGTGACTAAACTGTGATCTAAATTGCTAATTAAAGTTTTCAGATCACTAGAGTAACACCTGGCAGGTTCTAGCTTTTCGCCGTAGAGTATCAGCAGGAGAGGCAGTGCTACTTAATACCAACAGAATACCACTCAGGAAATCTCTCCTTCTTCCGATGAAAGACATTATTTTCCCTGCCAGATTCACAATTATTCATAAGGAATGATTAACATACAGGATACAGGACTGAAGGAGAGCTGACATAGTTCAGTCCAGATCTAGAACTTACTAACTTACCACTGCTTGTATTTTTTGTTTGCTTGTATTTTTTTTTAATGACTATCTATAATGTAACTCTGAAAGGCCCATTTATAAATGAAATAGGGGTGAAGTTATTGAGGATTTATAAGTAATCGAGTACATAGTCTTATAAATAAATTATTATGTAATTTTTTAAAGTTATATTTTATACTTTTTGAGGACTGCCACTCTTTGATAAAAATGAATGACTAGTATAAAGAAATCATACTATTTTTACTCTACTGACATATTTTAAGGAGAATTAAAAGTGAAAGTCACTTCTTGGGACTCAGAGCATGAAAGCAATGACTTGTTGACCTTTGGAGAATCTTTTACCCCTTCTCAACATGTGAGACACAAAGTCCCTAACAGGGACTTAAGACAGCCATTATTCAATAAACACTTTCTATGTAAAGAAAGCCAAAATTCATTTACATTTTGCAAGTAACGAGATGTTTCTCACAGTAATACATTTTCATCTTAAAAGTCAGCATTGAATGTTGCTTATTGATGTGATAAAAGTACACAGACATGAATGTGTGCTTTCTCTGGAAAAGTCAAATAAGCCAGGCATGGTGACACAGTGCCTTTAGGCCCAGCACTCAGGAAGCAGAGGCAGGCAGATCTCTGTAAGACAGAGATCAGCCTGGTCCACATAGCAAGTTCCAAGCCAACTGGGGCTACAGGAAGAGCCTTCTAAATTTTAAAAAATCATATGAGGAAATAAAAGTGTTCATAATATAGAGACTCAGAAAAAACTCATGAGAACCATTGGCCTGGGATGTTTCCATGATTCCAACCCATTCTCCACCACTTCTACCTCGAAGGCGTGACAAAGCCATCTCTTCCTCAATTACTGACATGGCTCGCTAATTTATTTCTTTACTTTTATTCTTACCTTCAAGTCTATTCTCAGCAGAGCTGGAATCTAACTCAAATCACGTTACACCTGTGCTGACCACATGTCTCAACTGACCTAGCAGGCAAAGTCTTTGCAATATCCTGAGCATGATCAGTCTTTATCTCCCACACTCCCCTCACTCCTTATAACCAGTTTACCTAGCCCTTGCTGCTCCAATTCACATGTACTTGTAATCCCTCTGCCCTGACACACTGCCCTGGAATAGGAGTAAGGCTCATTCTCTTTGCTGAGTGAATAAATGGATGATTAGTTCCATATCTATATATACATAGATACAGCAAAATCACTTCCCAGAGTCAAAGGGTATGGACACTGAGATCAACTTGAAGATACACAGGCAGATTCTACAGGGTATTTCTAGATATTAATAAGTGATACTAAGGTATCATTATATAAAAGCTTACAAAAGCACTTACTAGTATTATCTGGATTCTGTTTGCACTAATGGGTGGTCAGGAGCTTAAGGATCTTACAGCAAAATGTTTAAATGCTATATTGACAGCTCTAAGACAGGGCAGGAAAGCATGCTCTATCTCTGTCCAGAAGAATGCCAAAGAAATATGGATGTTAAACATCAAGAACACAAATGCCTGATTTTCTCCTAGAACTGGAAACAGTGTTCATACCTCATGAATGTTTCTCAAAAGAGAAATATTGTATATAAGTGAGTAGGAGGACTGACATTTCTCAAAGTACAGTTGTTTAACTTCATTAATTCCTTAATGGATTTATTCATCAGTCATTCATTCAATCATCACAGTTACTATCACAATGCTAAGCCCTTTTGTAATCTTTAGTTTTCTATTTCTACCAACAGAGCTCCATCTGTCAGCCACCATCCTAGATGCTGAGGATTGAATGATGAAAACCAATAGGACTATGCCCTTTCCACTGGAGTGTAGATAGGACAACTTCATTAAAATGAATAAATAGTTGCGTCTGTGCTAATGGACACAAAAGAAAAAGGTGAACACCTGTGGAAGTAAAATAAGGCTCCAGCAAAAAAGGAAGACTAATATTATGAGAAAAAAATGAGGAAAGCTCTTTTTTACTGTTGTTCTGTTTGAAACAGGGTCTCCCTGTAGCCCCCAGCTGGCCTGGAACTTGCTATGTAGACCAGGCTGGCCTTGAACTTACAGAGGTCCACCTGCCTCTGCCTCCCCAGGGCTAGGATCAAAGTTGTGTGCCACCACGTCCAGCCAAGAACAGCTTCTTAAACAAGATCACTGAGGGAAGAGCTAAAAATAAAGTAGGAGAGATTGGGAGGGGGAGGAGGGGAGGGAAGAGTGTAGAGCCCTGCAGGCAGAGAAATCTGGATTCGCCTCCTTGATTCCCCCAGTTCGGGTGGAGGAGTAGGTATCAGCTCTTTGCTGAGAATCTCGTTCCTCTTAAAGTTCCAATGAAGCTGCATCTCTGAGCAAGGATGTCCAGGAGAAGTAGGACAGAAAGCATCTGCGCACTCTGCTGCAGTTTCTTTGAGTGAAGATGAACTCTTTTCCAACCTGTGAAGGAAGACCTGCACACATGCTGGCCCTCTTCAGGCAGTCTTTCTTGTGTTACCCAGGCTCCAGTCCATAGAACAGGACATTCAGTTCCACTGCCTGAGAGAAGTCCTGTTTAAGACTCGAGCTAAACACAGCTGCCCTCCCCAGTGCTACAGGAAAATCATTTGTGTAACTGTTTGGGTGGGGGGACTTTTGTGTTTTGACTATCTGTCATTAGAGAGCTTCCTCATGGTGTGCTCTGTGGTTTCTGCTCTAGAAGCCAACAAGGAAGGAATCTTTTCCACCCTTCCTTCCTCTGCCACTCAGATGACTGAGATGCTAAATGTGAGAGTGGAAGACACAATACAGATGGGGAGATGTTGGTTCACTTATCCCTGTGAGGGGCAACAGTAGCTTCAAACCTCATTTTCTCTGTAAACAACAAAGAACACATGAAGACTTGAAGCCATTTCTTGAATGTGAGAGAATGATGTTATGAAATTCAGTGAGATGCATATTAATTTATAAACACTGAGTATTATATCAAGTTAAGTGCATAGCATTCTTGGGCCAGAAATTCCCATAAAATCCATCCCTTAATTATCCCTCATCTCCTCTCATCATTACAGGTATGTTTATGAGATGGAGCTAGAAACAGGAAATAGTTGACTTAAAATAAGGAACTATTGAGATGGCAACACATCCAAAAGCCTTTTGCTGCCTCTTCCACCTATTTCTTTGCTTTTTCTCCCCTTTCTCTTTCTCTTTCACTGCTCTCCTCTCTTTCTGCTCCTCCAACCCCTCTCTCCTCCCATCCGCACAGCACTTCTCAGAGCCATCATCTTCTTTCTCTGCTCAGCACTGTCATATCTTTATTCAAATGAACTCTACCATCACTGAAAGCTGGGTGCTCTGCTAGGCTCAGAGGTTATCAGACAAGAAGGACATGGTAATTGCCTCGTGAAATTTCATTCCAGTGAAGAATGTTACTGGAGAATATAAGTAAAATCTAAACCCGTGAGTCAGTAATTTCTAATTTTGATAAGATTTATAATGGGAACAAAAGCATCACTATGTAAATACAGGAATGAGAAGCTGGTAGGGTTTGTCATCAGCACCTAATGTCTTTACACCTCCTTTGTACCATAGATGCCTTCCATGAAAAATACTTGTGAGAATAAGTGTGTAAAATAAAATAACGTGGAATTTTAAATAAAGCAGTTAAATAGAATATAGTTCTATCCATACATCTCTTGAGAGTCCAGTGACCCAGGTTGGGTTTTTGCAGGATATGTTAAAGAGTTTATAGGTTATTTTAGGTACAATTGAGGATAATATGGTTTTAATCAAAAGAGTAACAGACAGATGATACTGGACTTAGGATGATGTCATTTTCTTACAAACTTGTCAGAAATCGAAAATACCCTATCAAATATGCACTTAAAGCCGGGTGTGGTGGTACATGCCTTCAATCTCAGCACTCAGGAGGCAGAAGCAGGTGATCTCTGTAAGACTGAGGGAGGCCAGTCTAGTCTATATAGCAAGGTCCAGGGCAGCAGGGGCTATAGGGAGACCCGTCTCAAGAAACACATTTAATATATTTCACATATGTAACACCATAGCTTAGCACATGCACCACAGGATGCTAGCTGTTTCCCCTGGGGTTGCTATCTGGGAGTGTGACTTGCTGTCACTGCCACATCTCAGAGCATCTCACACCTGAAACTGCTAGGCCAGAGAACCAAAATTCAGAAAAGTCCCATTTCTACTGGAAGGCATTTTGCATCATCATACAGCCAGAATTGTGTAATCAAATCTTCAAAAGTGAGGGGTCAACACACGATGTGTTTCTCAGCAGATTACTATTACTGTGTGGATAATGTTCCTGTCGCTGAGTGGAAGCAGGGAGCATTTAGAAGCTAATGAGTTATCACAGGGAAAAGGTGATTCTAGCTTGAACTCAGGGTGTAATTATGAAAAAACTATTCCTAAAAGAATGTTACTCCGAATCTGTCCTTTGAAAATACATGCCCTGTGTAGAAGAAAAAGAGGAACTAGAAAGGCTAGCCTCTAAAGGCTCCCTCAAATTCTCTAAGGGGAAGTTTTCCTCAATAATGCAAATCTGGGGAGCTGCTTCTGAGGTTTGTGACTTGAAGCTCATAGAATACATAAAAATTATTCTTCATACTTACTTGAACCAAATATGTTCCCAGTAAACCTTAAAAGGAGTTGTTCTCCTTCTTTTACTTGAAAATTTCTAGATGATTCTGGAAGTCCTCCAAAGCCTTCCAAACGCAAATTTTTAAGTGTCAGATTTAACTCCTTAGAAGGTATCACTAAAAGAACTATTCTATGTGGATTGTCCTTCTGGTGGGACAGCACAACGCATGCAGTAGTGCTGAGCGACGCTTCCTCTAGACACTTTACAAAAGAAGCCAAGTGGCTGTTGTCCACAGTGGAAGACAGGTGTAGCACAATAAACCTGTGCAAAAGGAAAGGGGGACAACATGCATTAAAATACCAGTCATCCAACGAAAAAACTATTATCTTAACATTCATTGATGCATGTATTCTGATGACAAGTAGTTAAATTAATGAAAAACTTTAGTAAAACCACTGGGACTCACAAAACTACTTCAGGTCAAGCCAATTTTCTCTCTCTCTCTCTCTCTCTCTCTCTCTCTCTCTCTCTCTCTGTGTGTGTGTATGTGTGTATGTGTGTGTGTGTGTATGTGCCTGTGTGCTGTACATATGTTTTGTGGGTGTGTGTGTATACATGCACATTCAGTTGTGTGGGCATGTGTATGTGTGTGCATGTAGAAACCAGCAGTCGACACCAGATGCCTTCCTCCATCACCTCCACCTATTCTTTGGCACAGATTGTCTCACTGATCCTGGGATCCTGGGATCCTGGTTTGCTAGGCTGACTGGGAACTGAGCTCCAGAGCTCTGCCTGTTTCTGCTCGACACTGGAGTTACAGATGTGAGCTGTCACACCAGTTTTTTATTTAGTTTTTTATTTAGATGCTAGGGACCTGAACTCAAGTCCTCTTTCCTACATGGAATCTTACTGACTGGTCCCTCTTCCTAGGACCCAAGCCAAATTCTGAAACATGCCTTTTGTTGTTGCTGGGTGGTTCAGTTTGGTTTTGTAGAACAATTCTTGCTTTGAAGCCCAAGCTAACCTTGAAGTCACTATGATCCTCCTTCCTCAGCCTCCCAAGTGCTGAGATTCTAAGTGCACACTACCACACCTGCCCTAAATACATATTATATATATATATATATATATAATTTTTTAAATGTTGAATCAGTTTAAGCATTCTCTTTTTTTAAATATTTTTTTAGAAGAAGAATTTCATTGCAGCTTTAACATACTCAATAACAGTTTCCAGAGCAAAGATACATCTCTTTTAAAAGTGGCTATAAAATTTTTAGGCTCACTGTTGAATTAATACAGTTATACAATATTGAACTCAGTATAAGCCCTGTAAGACATAAAATTGAATGAGTTTTTAACCTTTAAAAAAGATCTCCATTTCATTTTAAAATATACTGTTTCTTACAGAAAGACTCATTGTTAAAGTAATCATACTGTCTCAGCTGAGCTCTAAAAGTGGTACCAGATTTTAATTGTGAAGTCTTGCACCACAGAACATTCCAATCAACAACTGACCACATGTATCAGGGTGGTCCTCAAAGATTATAAGAAAAATTCTATCCCTTAGTGATGTTATTGCAGTCCTAATACCACAGTGCAAACATGTTCTACTCATATATTTGAGATGATGTTGGTATAAACAAACCCACTGCACAGCCATTTCTATTAAATTATAGCACATATAATTAAGTACTTAATACTTGATAATAATAACAAACAACTTTGTTACTGTATTTACTATAACATATTTTATATCATTAGAGTGTACCCTTTCTATTTATAGATTTAAAAAGTTAACACAAAAGCTTAAGGCAGGTCCTCCAGAAGGGTCCAGAAGAAAATATTGTTATCATAGCAAATGAAAATTCCAGTTGTGCTGGTGCTCCTGGAGGCCTTGTAGTGGGACAAATAATGGAGCTAAAAACAGTGATTTTGATGATTCTGGTGCTGTATAGGCCTAGAATAATGTATGCTTATGTCTTGGGTTTTAACAACAACAGCAAAAAATTAATTGGAAAATAAGATAAATCCAAGTGTATTGGTTCACATCTCAAATCCAAATATTCAGGAGGCAGAGGCAGGAGGATTGACATGAGCTTGAGGTCAGCCTTGTCTACATAGCAAGTTCTAGGGTAGCCAGACAGTTTTACCTGTCTAACAAAACTCTTTCTCAAAAAAAAAAACCCAAAATTAAATAAATAAAATTTAACATGGAAAAAGTTTAGAGAACAAGAATGTAAAGGAGGCAGCTGAAGAGATGGCTCAGTGCTTAAGACACGCACTGCTCTGGCAAAGAACTTGAGTTCAGTTTCCAGATGCCTTCTTCTGAACTCTGTAATGATGATTCCATCACTAAGCAGAGTATAACAAGAAAATTGCTAAAGCAATACTTCAAAATACAGAAGAAAAAGATGCTTGAAATCATCCATTTCCTCCCAACAGGACTCAGAATATGCGGCAGCAGGAAATGAGGACTAAAACATTCATCTCCTTTTCTGTGACATAAGGATTTTTATGATGGATCTTCCTATGGATTGAATTTTGTCCCATTCCCAAATCATATCCTGTAATTCTAATGCACAGTACCTCAGAATCTAATCTCCTATGTCATTACAGAGATCTTTAAGGTGAGGACACTAGGATGGACCCCAATCCAATATGACTGCTGTCGTTAAGAGTTTTCCGCATAAATGAAAGCACAGAAAGAACCACACACAAGCACAAAGATGTTGACCAATAAGGCTAGGACAGGCTGGTGGCAGATTCTTCCCTCACAGTCCTCAGAAGGAACAAACCCTATTAACATTTTAAGACATCCAGCTTCCAGAACTGTAAGACAATAAATGTTGGCAGCATTTTATTACAGCAGCCATAGTAAGCTCATACAGACTTGGGTCCCAGAGCTGGACTAGTTAGCTCTTAATTGTTCTTCAGAGAGTTACCTTGTGGAGGCCTCATCCAAAGCAGCCTTTTCCCACAGACAGGGACTGACTGACATGACTGAGCAAAGCCAATGGCCCTGATATTCCTGAGCTACCCCGAGGTACCAGGCTAGGGAAAGACCAGCTAAAACCAGCTTTCCCATTTTTCTCCCTGGCCTTCTCTGCTTCCTTCATTCCCCTAAACAATCTTCCCGAGAGGCCTTACTTGATAAGTCACTCTCATCTCAGACTGCTTCTGAGGAATCTGGCCTGAGATAATCACAGAGGTAAGATCTACATTATGAAATGAGCCTATCTTTAGACATGTGATTACCTACTCCGTAGGAACCTTAAAACTGTCTAAAACTTTCTCTTAATGGGCTGTCTAGAAAACATGGAAATGAGAAAGCCAAATGAGAGCACTGAAATAACAAATCCAGTTTCTATCTACATAGTTATGAGCTGAGCATAATGGGAAGAGTTAATTGCTATACCGCAGAATTTCAGAAATGAAGGTGCTATTTTGAAACTATTTTGGAGTTAAGAGAAACCTGTAAAAATAAATCTATGTTGTGAGTGGTTTCCAAAAGCCCTACTTAAACTATCATGAGCAACACTGCAAACAGCATAGCTGTGTCAATTGTGGTTTGCATTTTAAATACACCCTAAAAGACAGCTTATGTTCCTAGTTGAGAAATAAAAACCAAATCCTATGATTCCAATTCTAAACATTAATTACAGGCTGGAAGAGAGTGTCGTCACCTCTGCTTGCTTCCTATTGCCTTACCTCTCTAAGTGTTCACACAAGTCGAATGATATCAAGCCATTCTGGACAGTTCTTACCACAACGTCATCAAGTCCAAACCAGCCAGTGTCTCTGCTTCTAAATCCTAATAGTTTCCAAGATTCACAAGCATTGTTACCTGGTTTTCTGATGGAAGCACTTTGGGTCCTATAAATTGGTAACAGAAATAGGTAAAATTTATATAATATAAATCACATTTAATATATTTATTTTTTTCATGAAGTGACTAACCCACTAATAATTTATTGTGGTATATGTTCTGTGTTAGTAACTATTCCAGGCTCCAGGAACAGAAAGATAGGAAGATACAGCCTTTGCCTACGGAAGCATCCACACAGTATCACAGTATTACTTGATGACAGTACAAGGTGATCTATGTGGTAGTTAGATGAAGGTACATGATGATTTAGGAGTAAGAGTAAATACCCAAGGATGCTTGCAAAGCAAAAATGCTGATGGTAAAGATGAGATTTGGAGCATGAAACACATTTTACAACTGGTGGAAAGAGGTTTAAGGGAACACTTAGAAACATAATGAACTTGCCAATGTTAACACAGATGCCTTAGGACAGACAAAGGTGACTATGTAGCGTAATAGGTAAGACCATAGACTCATACAAAATTGCATTTTGTTTCCTGGGTGGTTCTGCCTCTCATTAACACATGACTGTGCACATATTTGATTTCTATGTATTTCAATTTTCTGTTATCATATTAGTATAATAGCACTTGCATCGTAAGATAAGTCAGTTAATATTTGTAAAGCATTTAGAGAGAGTATAAATGGTACTAATATTCTCCTCCACTTCCTACAGCATGGATACAAATTCACTTTGTTAAATACTTTATCTTCTTACAAACAGGCCAACCAAAAAGCCCTACAACTGTGTGTGCCATGTGATACTCCTCACCCACTAGAGCTCATTCCACACACCAGTTTCTAACAGCTAGTCAATGTAGTTCTCTTTCTTTGGAATTTGACTCTGGAGGAGTGCCCAAGACTGTAACCTGTCACTTTCCTTTGGTGGAAAGGCCCTGGACTATGGAAATGAACACATGGTGAGCTTATTAAGAAAAAACATCTAGGTGCTATGGAATAAGGAGAAATGCAGGGTGAAAGAATCCATGAAGTCTTTAAAGACAACGTGTGCTTTTAATAAATTTTCTATTTGAAGTCTTTTAAGCAGGCATCTGTTCTTCACAACTAAAGGGGGAAAAATCTATGATACTGAAGATTTTCAAGGAAAAATAGCCTGAAGTATCCTGCAACTCACAAGGGGACAGAAATAATCTCTCTCTTTCTCTCTTTCTCCCTCTCTCTCTTTCTCTCTCTCTCTCTCTCTCTCTCTCTCTCTGTGTATGTGGTGTGTGTGTGTGTGTGTGTGTGTGTGTGAAGAGAGATAGAGTTATAGGCATAAAATTGCCCCAGTTTAACAGATTGAGATGTCCTCTGAGTCAGAGATTAGTAGTTGAGCTAAACTTAAAATGTTATGTTAAAAAAAATCTCTGTTGGGTATTTCTGAGAATTAGACAGGGTTAATTGGGCTATAACCACAGATATGGTAAATGCTTTAACCCTTGGAGGCTAGAAATCAATTCATACAGGAGGATGTACTCATAGTGAATCAGAATCTTGGTCATTTACTAGAAACTGAATTCATTAGATAAAATTTTGGATTTTTTTTTCTCTCTGATAGCATCTAGCTACCTTTTTTCTGCTGATAGTCTAATTTTTGGTGGGAGCCTACAGGCTCATGGTGGGGTGCCTCTTCTCCTAGATACAGGAGACACTTAATTAAGCCAAATAGTACATTTGGAATTCCTGATTGCTGGTCACCAAAATAGCTGCCATCCCCTTGTTTGAATGCGCTCCAGATTTCCATGTGGTTGAATGGGGCCATGTGACTGCTTACAGCTAATTAATTGGAAATGAAAGAAAGACTTGTCACTTTAAGGCCGTGAGTTTTACTGCTAATGGATCTGCTAAAAGTTCTTTTGCCATGAGGACAACTGTACTCTGCTCTGTCTGCCTAAGTCCAGACATGAGAAGTGAGAAGCAGCCTACTTTTGGTGACTGTGGTATGAGATATAAATACTGTTGTTAGAAGCCCTTGGGAGTTGGGAGTTTTGCTCTCACATCATAACATAAGCTAATCTGCACTGAGCCTTTCTTCTTGCTCCTGTTTTGAGTTTCTGATAGATTCAGAATGAGAATTCAGAGCTAAGCTTCTATGCATATAAATGGGTGGGGGGAGAATATTCCTCTTTTCCTCTGAACTTGGAGCTATGAAGATGTGCCATGTCAGAGAACGAACTGGCACAGGGAAGTCTAACACAAACTAGAGACTAGGTTCTTCCCAGTCCAAGATAAAAAAAAAGTAAAGGTAGATACTGCCCATGATTAGCATGTGGTTTACTACCTATACAAACCAAAGAACTCACTCTTTTTTTTCTTTTTGCTTCATAGTTTTTGATTGATTTTCTGTCATTTAAAAGGCATCCTTAATAAGCAAGTATGATGGTCCATGTTTGTAATCCTAGTCCTTGGGAGGCTGAGGCAGGAGGAATACTGAGTGTTTGAGGCCAGTATGGCAAATACCAGGCCAGACCTGGCTATAAAACAAGAGCCTGTTTCAAAAAAGAGAGAACTGCCAGGCGTGGTGGCATGTGCCTCTAATCCCAGCACTCGGGAGGCAGAGGCAGGTGGAGCTCTATGAGGTCAAGGCCAGCCTGGTCTATATAATGAGTTCCAGGCCAGCTGGGGCTACAGGGAGACCCTGTCTCCTAAAATGAAGAGAGAAAGAGAGAGAGAGAGAGAGAGAGAGAATCAGTCCCAAATAACACAAAAATCAAACTGAATGTGCAGTAATAACACAGCTCATCCTTAGGTGAAACAACCCTATGATAGACCTGTGTCTCCCAGGTATTAACAGCTTTCCAATTGAACTATGGCCTTTGATTGAACAATTAGCAAACTTTGACAACTGGTGTTGCCTAGCAATGAATGGTACTTGGTCAGGAACCAAAACAAGGACAACATTTTGATGTTATGATAGTTCCCTAAAATGTAGTAAACTGGGGCTTGCTATGCACATGTGAAGACTGGAGCTTAGACCCCCACCCCCACCCCAAGCCATGAGCTGCCTGGGTGTGTCTGTGCTCCTGTAATCCCAGCTGGCAATCAGGAGGTGGAGACAGGGAATCCCTGCAGCAAGCTGACTAGCCAGACTGGCTGGATCAGTGTGCTACACGCTCACTGAGAAACCTCTTAGTAAATAAAGTGGAGGACAATTGAGAAAGATACCCAACATCAGCCTAGAGTCTGTACACATGGGCACATACACATGCATGAGCACGTATATATGTAAAAACGTAAGATAAAATATACTCGACTTTATGAACAGTTTATTTAAAACTGGTCATCCCCCAAAGTACCAGGCTTTATGTAGATACTGATTAAAGTATATATGCTGCTTTATCTGTAAAAAATGCTCTGGATAATTTGGCAAGCAATCATACCATCAAAATTCGTATGGAATATTCTATTTTCAGAATGTCTCATTTGTGGTACATATAATGCATAAGCATTTAAATATGAATGTCATTTATGTTTTAGGATTAAATTTTTCTCAGAAAACCATAATTTAGTCATTAAAGTACTGATTTTAAATGACATATCTTCACTCAAAAATTTTGAAATTCAACTATAAATTATGCATGCTGTTGATGAGGCAATTTTAAAATTGAGAAGTAAATAGAAAAAGAAAGTTGTACAATCACATTACCTAGAGCCAAATAGCATAGCATAGTGATGCATTTTTGGTAGTCTGTTTTTTGACATAGTTTTTTATTTAGTTTGTAAGGTGGTGACCATATTTTGGGTCAAGCTGTGAACCCTAAGCTTAACATTTGTTAGCAATACTATCACTTTTGTATTTCAATTCAAATGATTGATATTCTCATCACACCACTAAGAGAAAGCAAATTTTTTCCTGATTCAAGTATGCTTTTTGGTCTATTAGGTCATAAACCTTTGGAGTTTTGCCCAATCACATCACTAATCCCAGTTACAATCAACACACATGCTATAATCTGTGTACAGCAACCGTTGTCTTATGTTTTGCTGGCACGGCTGCTTCTCTGCCGGTGATGGCCAAAGGTCCCTCATTATTTTCAGTCTTGGTATATCTACCAGTAATTGTTCAAGGTGTAAGAATGAGATATAAGAAAACTCTCTTCACTGCTATGCTCATATGTAATCTAGCTATCAAACCTAGACAATGTCCCCCATAGGCTCCAAGTACTTGGACATTTTGTCTCCAGTTGGTGGCGTCGTTTCGGGAGGTTTTAGGTGGTGCAGCCATGCTAGAGGAAGCACATCACTGGATGGGGCAGGCTTTGAGAAGAGAAGTCTTAAGCCTTGCCAGATTTCTAGTCTTGTTCTGCTTCCTGTACCTACTTCAAGATATGAGCACTCTGCTTTCTATTTTGGTCACCTCCTGCCACTGTACCTCCCTGCCGTGACAGCCTCTAATACCTCTGGAACCTGGAAACTTAAGCTCAAATAAACTCTTCCTTTTATAAGTTCTCTTGGTCACAGTGTTTTTATCACAACAATAGAAAAGCACACGGAAGACAGTAAGAAGATTTTCCCACTATAAAAATTCCGCTCCTGGCCATTTCAGTGTTTCGTTATCATGAGTTGAAATAGATGTTACTAGAGATTGTTCAAGAAGAGGTTCCTTTTGATTTGCTAAAGAATTGAATTGTACATTGCCTCACTTTTCAATTCATGGGGAGCTTTATATTCTTAAACATAGTGATGTATAACACATTTAAAACATTTTTAAACCAGTAGCTTCAAGTTGAACAAATAGGAAAACGTTTATCCCCTCCAATGCTTTCTGCATCTGTGTCTCACCAAAACCATTTCACTCTGTGAGTTGAGACTTTTCTGGGCTGATCAGACAGTACTGACTGACAAGGACAAAGACGGCCTGTGTGGTATTACTACCCATAACATTTTTATTTCTTTCTTCAGTTTATTCTCTAAATTTATGTTATAAATTTAATATGCAAAACATAGAATTGTAAGAAATTGAGAATGAATGATCTGAGAGCCCTTCCTTGATAATGTACAGTGAGAT